CCCGAAGTGCACACACTGGGATTCAAACCCGAAACCTTTGCTCTGATACCATGTCAGAATCCCAACCACTAGACCATTGGGATAAAAGGGCTTGTTAAGAAGCAAGTCAGTGCGCCCATAACCCCCCAGGCCAGCGAGCCTGTAACCCTTTCCTATGATCAATCGGGGATCACCAGTGGACCTCTGGCTGCAGTCACGTGATTTTGTAGACTTCGTGTGTCGCGTAGTCCAGCACGATCCATGCCTTGTACTCCTTTTCGATCCCGAGGTGAATGCCCCAGCGTGCCCTGTCGGCAAATTTTCCGGTCCGTGCTGTATGTGGCCTGTACTGTACCATGCAGCCAAACACTCGAAGCAGACGCGTGTCTGCTTTTCTGCCCGTCCAAGCCCTGTAGGGAGAGTTGTTGTTCTCGAGGCTTTGGAAGGACAGCAAGTTGTGCAGCCGGACATCGTGGTTCATCATAGGGTACGTCGACTATATCTCCCCTAGGTCCTGCGCTCGAAGCTGCTGACTCAATATCAGTTTTCAACTGAGCAGGGTTAGAAGGTTTTATCCGAGGCCAATTGTGTTTCGTATTGGCCTGGAACCTTCCCCTAAGCCTTTGCAGCTGTGTAGGCTTCACCGGTGGGCAATGTGGGGCCTTAACACTGTGTTGCGGGGAGAGAATATTAACTCCTCGGAACGCACGACCCTTTTCAACGCTCCGGAGTGGTTTGCCCAACTGCTCAGGTACCTGAACAATCTCTACGGGCTTTTTCTTACCCTCTAAGTGTCCCCTAAATTTCTGAAAGGCTTGAAAACCATGAGAGGAAATATTTTTAGTTAAAGTATCTTTATAAGATAACTTTAACGAATTCCTACTCTCAGGGGTGTTCGGCTGAAGTTTCCCGGTCGGTGCAGAGTCTTTTTTCGCAGAGCCTCTATTTGTCTCGGCGATTACCCCTGTTGCCGGCCGGTCATCACGTTGTAAATTCGCACCATCATGATCTCTTTTTTTCGCCCGCTCCGAATTCGCCACGTCGTAGCCTTTTCGCCTTTTCCGGATCTTTTCGTGATCGCCAGGTCGATCCGCGGCTACTGGCGACTCCCGGTTTTTGAATTCGGGGGTGTCGCACTGTTGTAGCCCTGCAGCTCCGCTCGTGCCTTCTTCATTTTCCAACACGCCAAGAATCGATCTCTTGCTGCGCGGCAAAAATCGCACTTCTCATATTTTGTCGACCGCTGCTTCTCGTCGATCTTGTCGATATCCATCGTGTCGGCGGTCGTGGGTGGTGCCGATCGCTCCGCGCCAAAAGGCCTTTTCGGCACGTGGCGTCGTGTCTCGCGTTGACCTCGCGTCAGCGCTTCGAATCTCTCTGCTGCACACACCATGTCGCGGTAGCTACTGTAGTTTGCGGCGATCACCTGTCATCATACTTCCACTTATAGCCCCTCAGTATACGCTTGGATTTTTTCCCCTTCGGTCAGGTCGGTAATTCGGTTGAAGAGGCTCTCCATCTGCTGTGTGTATTGTATTACGCTGTCGTACTGTTTGTGCCGATGAATCTGCTGCAACGCCGTGTAGCTGAAATTGATCGGTTCGAGACGTTGAATTAAAGCTGCCCGAAACTGCGTCCATGACCCCTCGCCTCGGATCTCATGACTGTTGTAAATCCACTCGAGCGCCAGGCCTCGGAACACTGTCGCTGCGAGCCAAATCCGCATTGCATCGTGTGTCGGGGTCGTACAGCCAACGGCCTCGAAGTAAATATTGAGGGTCGCAATGAATCGACGGACGTCGGTATCTTTCGCATTCGGATTGAACATCTCCGGTGGCCTCGGTCGTGCCGCCTCAAGATTCACTGTAGCTGCTGCCGCTGCTACTGGGTAAAATGTCGGTGTCCCCGCTGCTGTTGCTGTTGCCGTCGCTGCTGCATTCGCTGCTGCCGTGGCGGCTACTGACTTTTTCGCGAGAAGCTCCTCTATTCGCTGGAGTGCCGCTCGCGTCTGGTCCAGGCCGGTGTGAAACGGGATTGAACTCTCACAAGGCGACTCATTGTAACGGGATTTGTTGCCACGTATGAGTTGCGCAGGTGCTCCCAAGAAGCGTACGCTTGTGCCCACTCTGACTTGCAGGAGCGAATGCCAAGCTGCTCGGAAGGGGAGAGGTTTATAAGAAGAGAGGTGTACGCAAGAAGAGACTCATGGTTGTACTGGTTCTTCTCTTGGATGGTGCCTTCCGTCGGAAACGGTAAGCTTCCATCGTAGTACATCCAGATTTGCGCAGTTGTCGCGAGGAGCTCAAACTCGAAGCTCCACGTGTAGAAGTCCTTGCCGTCAAAAGGAATTGATGTCTTCAGCTTTGAAGTCAGAACGAACTTGGTTTGCGTTGTCGCGATTGTTTCTGACTGTGTGCGATGTTGACTGTCTTGCGCAAGAGCTGAAGCTTGACGGTTGCCAAAGGTAAATGACCTCTCGGAGTTGACGCGGCGGACTTTTCCAGGGAGAGGTAGTCCAGCAACTCCACGTGCGTAGCTTGAGCCATCGATGCAAATAGCTTGATGGCTCTCAAGAGCGTTGATGCGAGCGACGAGCTGCTCGACGAGAGTGGCGCTGACGGAGGTCACTGCTGATGGTGCAGTAGGTGTTGCTGTGGTGGGCCCGGAAAATCTGCAGTGGCTTTTTCTTCGGGAGCCATAGTGATGCAGAGTTTGTAATGGTTTAAGGAGTAATTTATAAAGAGGTTGTTCTAGAAAGAACAAGAGCTTAACAGGCCTTATAATCCACTCTAGTTCTCATACCATGTTGTTGTAACTGAAGGATCGTAGTGGATAGGATAAGTCTGTCAAGTTTGAAAGAAGACAATGAAGTCTCTATAATGACCTTGTTAATCAAGTTGAAAGAGAACAAGATGATTATATGATAGAAGTGCAAGGATATAAATAGCAATCCTAGCTAGCCATGTACTCTGAGGGGTACATTCCTTTATTAAATCAATTACATTGCTATAGTAACCACGACTATTGCTATTCTTGACAGTTACCATGTTGCATCGCGTAACTACCAAGTGCGGTTACTGGGCAGTCAAGGGTCACGACCGTCGAGTGTCTTCGACTGTTGGCCAAGCCTGCTAATGAATCATAGAACGAATTAACAAATACTTCAAACTCTTTCTGAATATTTGGGGCATAGGGAGTTAATATATTTGTATAGACCTTTCGTTACGAAGATAGGTGGTAACGCGTACTTTGTGTCGGATTTTGTTGGCCAGTACGACAGATATTTTTTGGTCGTTGATGAACTGGGCGGCAGCGAATGAAGGTACAGCGAATGAACCAAAGGTTACGACGTGTTATAACACAAATTGTGACTACAGTGGTTGCTAGATACACCTGAGAATGGGGATATACACACGATGCTCAACCCATGCACGCGAATTTGCCCTGCATGCATTTGAAAGTCTGCACGCGTGTACAATTTATGCCCGTTTGAGCCCCTCCCGGTTGCCTTGTGAAGGGGGTCTGTAAGCTACACTAACATTTCGTGGGGTGTTCGTATGTTTCGTTACACTTTCTATGTGCTTCAAAACTGAAATTGGTAACCACCCATTTTGTCTGTTTCGTAACAGTAACAGTTGGTGCGGAGATAACTGCTGCAACGGGAGCTAGACTTCGGGCTAGGCACGTGTGCTCGTGTGATCTCTGCGTTCCTTAGTCGTTTGCTTGTGTGTTCTCTACTTGCACATTCACGGGGAGATTTTGCAAGAGTTTCACTAGCAAAGATTGGCAACAATGGGTAGCAACAACATTGGCATCACAGATTACATCAGAGCTAGCTAGGCTGCTGGTTGACCTCCAGCGCAGCATGGTCGACCGCGCTCCAGCGCAGCAGCGCTCGCACCGCTCCAGCGTTGCAGAGTAGCGGTTCGCCAACGTTGCAAGTCCACGGTGTGTCAACGCTGCAGCAAGTTGGCTGCACAGCGTGGCACCCGCATGACAACGGTGCACCTGCTTCGCAGATGCGTGCAGCTGGTTGGTGTGCCACTCCTCATCACGTGCACAGCGCAGACGCCTGGCAGACTCCACGCCAGCGACTGCGCCCACCAGCCACGTCGACCTCGGGATACCACCCCCGAGGTCGGCCTCGCAGACTCCACCCCGGCGACACTCACGCACGTCGCCCGGGTATCCCGGTCGACCGGGCAACCACGCCCGGTCAATCAGCACAGTCCGTAGCCGGCCACCAATGCACGGCGTCCCCAGTCCGGCGTCCAGGCGCCCAGGACGCCGTCCGAACCCCCCCAGGTCGGCGTCCAGACGCCAGGACGCCGATCAGACGCCCAGGTCGGCGTCCGGGCCCCCAGGACGCCCAGGTCGGCGTCTGGGCCTCTAGGACGCCATGTAGACGCCCAAGGCGGCGTCCCAGGCTCCTAGGACGCCGTGCAGACGCCTAGGTCGGCGTCTGGCCTTCCAGGACGCCGTGCAGGCGCCCACGACGCCGACCAGGCGCCCGGGTAGTCGTGCCGACGCCCAGGTCGGCGTCCAGCTTCCCAGGACGCCGTCCAAGCGTCCAGGACGCCAACCAGGCGTCCAGGACGGCGTCCTCCTGCTCGGCGCCCTCCAGCCAGGCGCCCTTCAGCTCGGCGCCCTTGCAGTGGCCCCCGTGCCCACTACTGCAGGTTGGCTGCAACCCCCGCACACCCGACCACGAAGTCGGCTCCGCCCAAGAGAGGACGGGGCCAAACAACACTCCCGTTGACAGTTGGCACTCCTTGTCATTAGTGTGTGTTTCTAGTTACCTTACGATTGCAAGAACAATCTACCCTTCATCCTCATCAAATGTTCAACTTAGTCAAAAACATACAGTCCACTCGAACCACCTATCGGGCGCACCCACTTGGCCCCCCATGTCAAATGTGAGCATCGATCGAATCACTCACAAATGTTCACAAGGAGTGAACACTCGTTCACATCAAGGAGCCTTCGGCTCCTTCACGGGGGGGGGGGGGGGTAAATTTCACTCACAGACGCATCCACTCCGCCGCGTCTGTATACCCGCCCATCACGGCGCCAACACCGGCGTCCAGCAGCTGCTGACGGCGGGAAGGCTGGGTCATCCAGCCAGGCAGCACTCGGCCGCGCGGACGCGGGGTGTCGGGCGTGGGTGTTGCGCCTGGCGTGCGCGCGGCCGGCGGCGTCACGTTCAGATTAATGGGCGGGCTCGCCCGCTCCATGCGCGCAATGATGACCGGGTTGCGGATGTCGAAAAGGTGGCACAGGTCGCGCGGCTGGATGCTGATGGCGCGCGCATAGCCAATGAGCATCTCGCACGCCGCCCGAGCCGTGCGTCGCGCTTCACGGCCCACGGGGTCGGCATCCTCATATACGGCCTGCATGGTGGTGGGCGCCTCCCACATTTCCACCTCCATGCCCGCACCCGGCTCATTCGTCGTCAGATCCGCCGCGTGCTCGGCGCACGTCGGCTCACCGTCGACGATGGCGACGTACTCAGCCGCGGACCTCGCGCCATGCCCGAGACCAAGCCCAGAGATGAGAGTCCCGACGTCGCCTATCTCATCATCAAGCTCGATGTCGGGATTGGCGGACGGGGTGGGCTCGTCGCCATGCACGTGCGGCAGCTCCATGGCCCACGAACGCGGGAGGCACCCCGTGCGCCACCAGCACCACTGGATGGTGCGCGCACCGACGCCGGTCCACGCGTCCGAGAGCCACGCCAGCACGTCGCGCAGGTTCGAGCGAAACCGCGCGGCGGCGCTTGTGGCCCCGTCCGCGTTCCACAGAGCCGTGAAGGCCCGCAACCAGTGCTGGCGGTAGCGCGCCTTGGCGGTTGCAATAGTCCCCTGGTCAAGGGGCTGGGTGAAGGTCGTCGTGTTAGGCGGCAGGAAGACCAGGCGTACGTTGCTCATGCAGGTCGTGCGCATGCCGCACACGATTTCGCTCCACGCGAACTCGCTCCTTAGCATGTGCGAGCTGGCGTTGTGGAGCAGAATGACAATGTGGCGGCCCTCCGCATACATGGCCGCATTGAGCTGTGAAATGAAGTGTGTGAACAGCTGTGGGAGGGAAGGGGAGGGAGCGGGATGGCCGCATGTGTGGAAATGCACATGCGCGTATAGTTAAGTCACAGGGCGCGCGAATAGTTTTCAATGCGTCATGTTAAACAACAAGTGATTGACCACCGACACATACAAAAAGTGCCACACAAACTCACCGGCGACGTCATCCATCATTTGGCGTTGTTACGCCAGTAGCAGAGCGTTTCAGGGTCATAGTCCGGGCGAAAATCATGCGGGCGCCTCGCCTTAGAGATGACCAACGGGCGGAACGCGTGGCTCCCGTCGGCATTGACGAGAAATGCAACGGTAAGGCGTTCCTTCGACACCTTTCGCCCTGGAATACGGCCGTTGCTGTAAGTACGCCGCGGGAGCACGGACAGCCACAGCGCGGTTTCGTCGAGGTTGTACGTGTCGCGCGGACGGGCTGAGAGATGCATGAGAAGCCGGGGGAGCTTCTCCTGGCAGTCGCGCACTGCGGCATGGTCCGCGCTGCCCGCCTCGCTGACCGATGCACGGCACCTCACCCCCTGGCGCCGCAACGCACGCCGCACCCATCCGATGGAGCATCGAAACGTGGGCGGAATGCCCATGTTAGGAGCCATGGTCGCGACGTGGTCGCGGATGGTTTGCAGCGTCAACGGGACGCCGGCGGGCCCCGCGTTAGAGATCCACCTTGCCATGGCCTGCTCCAGCTCAGGCCATGCGCCTCCCCGCCGGCGGACTGGGTTGTCGCCCGTCTCGACCACAGCCCAGCGGTCGGCGCTTTTCAGGATGCGGCCGATGGTAGAGCGGTCCGGGCGAAGGCGATACTGGGAGTAGCACCACCTCGCCAGGTCAACGTGACGCAGGCGCGGGTTCTCCACATGGTGAAGGCATATCTAGCGCTTAATGTGCACATGGAGCTGCTCACGGCGGTGGAACCGAGGCATGGTGAATGGCGGGGCTGCGGGTTAACGATGCAGAAGTGGATTCAATGCCGTTGTTTTAAAGTTGGGTGACTTGCCCATTGATGCTCGCTAGGGGCCTGTTCGGCGTGGCTGGTGGTGAGCTCGGTGCCAGGTTCGTTTCGTGCATTTGGTTTGAGGGTCAGGGTAATGTGTTTTGTAACCACACATTAGGATGCCTGACGTGGGGTGGGCGAACAATGCTTGTTTGATAATGCTCTTGTACCCTACAAGTGCAGGATACACGTGGCAGGGTGAACCTGCCAGACTGACTGTTACATGCACCCTGAACCTCGCTTACTTGGCAGGGCAGTCGGGCGAATGCATTCACGAAGCCTACGGGGTTTCGTTCAAACATTTCGGGTGTGTGACTTCTAGCCTAGAAACAGAGAAAACCAGGGTCGGCCTGGCTTGTTACGGACTGCACGTGCAGAATCGGTCGAAGCACGTGCACTGTAGCCTGCCATCCAGGTGTCTGTACCGTGGGTGCATTTGCCCGGGGTGAAAACATCGGGTGCAGCGTTTCCATCCGGTGCATGGCAAATTCGCGTGCACTGGTTGGGCATCATGTGTATTTGGGGCCAGCCAGTTGCACCCAGCAGTGATAATGAGCCAATCTTAATGAATACTGACCGACGTCAATTGCCAATGAAATTTTGGTGAACCAATAGTAACGAAGAGACCACTTCAACTGTCAACGTGTAACATTTTAGAATTTTGTAAGCACTTTTTTGCTAGCTGCTACGTTGACGAAGCTTGCGAAAAACAGAAACAACTTAAAGCCCCATTCACGGGTCAAACGAGCATCATGTGACTGGGATGAATGGCCCTCGGGATTGACGTCAGCACAGTCTCTGGTGGAAGCACCACCAGAGCCTCGATTTTTCGAATCTCGAGCCCTGAGCGTCCTCCATACGAGTCTCAAGTATATCCGGCCCCACACGACACGAGTCTTGATTAAACCGTGCTATTGACTCCCACACAAGTCCCGAGTCCTGACCCCACTAACCTAGAAACGAAAGCACGAGCTTTAGTTTCCAGGGATTATTAAACAGCTTTTCCAGTTTTTTTTTGCTAGGTTTCTACTGCGTCTTTGAAGGTTAGCGACGTAGAAACAGGCAGGTTTCTTGTGCTAACGGTAACGGTCGCGGCTTAGATTGTGTCGGGACGGAAAGTAACGAGCGCTGCGGAGGGAGGAAGGGTCTGGACGGCAGCTGCTGGATGGCTGGACGTTACAGGTACGATGCTTCAGGTCAACGATTAGGGATAATGATATGTTAAAAAATGCGTCACAAGGTCTGGACTCATGAGCTCTACAGCTGCTATATTGCTGGACATTAGAGGTAATATATTTCGAAAAAACGGTTGGAGATGGTAGCACGCTACAGATGATTCGTCACAGGTATCGAAGCGTATCTGATTTTACGCAACTACATCAATGTTGTTTGTCGCCATCCGATCATGCCGCTAAAACATATTCGGAATAGGGAGTGGTTAAAAGATTTACTTTAAAGTACACATTGACGGCATCGCAGGTAAGAGAAATTTGGACGAGGAAGCGCGCTGCTATATAAGGATGTGTTGGCGAAAACGAAGCTCATCTCGTCCCACACACAGTAGGAGCGTTTTCGTTAGATTCTTTAAAAAGCGTTCACCAACTAGGACGAGTGAGTGCGCTGGGAGATGAAGAATGATAGTCGAGGCTCATCTGTTCCTTTTAATTGAACGCGAAGCCTGCTTTTGAGGCGCGTCATCGTTATGCTCCTCAAGAATCGGCATACTTTGTCAAATTTGAATTATTCGTTGAAAATGTATGAAGGAGCGGGTTGATGCGGATTTTTTTCCTGGTTGCATAATAACTCGTTTCGTTTATTCAATCGATTCACAGTCATATAAAGCGGGACAGTAATGAATGCCGTGAACGTGAGAAATTAGAGAAGGGGGAGTGGGGGAAGGGGTCGGGGAAGGAGGGAGGGAGGAGCGGAGGAGGGGATGGGGAGGAGAGCGTTGCTAAAATAAAGAGGAAAGGAAAAATCCGGAGGCATATGAGGTGACAAGTTCGTTTCGAGTCTACGTCACATGATCAAATGAGATTGTTGTGAGGCACTGAATTTGACTGCATTTCATAACTAACCCCTTCCCGCCTTGTCTCAGCTTGCCCCGTTTTAGACGGAAACCGTCCATCCCTTTCCTGTCTCCGAGCCCCTTCCTTCCTTTTAAATAAACCCCTCTTGCATCTCACCCCATTCCCCTTGGTTCATTGTCAGCTGTCGGATGCAAGGATCTGACGGACACGGAGCTTTACGGCTGGCAGGACCCTTACGTGGTGCTGCAGTACGGCTCACAATGCAAGCGCACAGCCACTCACAAAGGTGAGTTGTGTTTAGAGAGGGTAACATTAGGTCGGGAGCCATACCAAAGTGGATAGGAGTCAGGACACAGAGCTTTACAGCTGGCTGGCAGGACCCTTATTTGGTGCTGCAGTACGGCTCACAATGCAAGCGCAGCGCACGACCACTCACAAAGGTGGGTTGGGTTTAGAGAGGCAAAACAGCAGGTCGGGAGCCGTAGCAAAGTGGATAGCAGGCAGGACACGTAGCTCTGCCGCTGGCTGGCAGAACCCTTATGTGGTGCTGCACTCTGGCTCGCAAAACAAGTGTGCGGCCACTCACAAAGGTACGACTGACCAACTACACTACTGATTTAGGTTGCACCATTTGTGACTGGCCCAGTGGAATGAGACAGTGCGGATGAGGTACCAGCCCAACTTGTATGTTTTGGCCTGTCTCGCCACGCACTCGCACATGCACATGCTGCTTCCCGCCCCTGCCTCTCCTTGCACCTTCAGGCGGCCACACAGCCCCCCAGTGGAACAAGACAGTGTGCATCAACTACCAGCCCAGCAATAGGTTTGACCTGACTGAACACTCAGTCACATGCTGCTTCCCATGCCCTTCTCTGCCTTTCCTTGCACCTCTCAGACGGCCACACGACCCCCAGGTGGAACGAGACCGTCCGCATCAACTACCAGCCCAACGTGTTTGACCTGACGGTGGGCGTGTGGAACGAGAACACCTTCAGCCAAGACAGCCCCATTGGCGGCTGCAAGTGAGTGCTTGCTGCTGGATGTGAGTAGGTGCAAGGCTATCGGAGCTTGTGTGTGAGATTCCCTGTCCGCATCAACTACCAGCCCAACATGTTTGACCTGACTGTGGGCGTGTGGAACGAAACACCTTCAGCCAAGACAGCCCCATTGGCGGCTGCAAGTGAGTGCTTGCTGCTGGATGTGAGTAGGTGCAAGGCTATCGGAGCTTGTGTGTGAGATTCCCTGTCCGCATCAACTACCAGCCCAACGTGTTTGACCTGACGGTGGGCGTGTGGAACGAGAACACCTTCAGCCAAGACAGCCCCATTGGCGGCTGCAAGTGAGTGCTTGCTGCTGGATGTGAGTAGGTGCAAGGCTATCGGAGCTTGTGTGTGAGATTCCCTGTCCGCATCAACTACCAGCCCAACATGTTTGACCTGACTGTGGGCGTGTGGAACGAAACACCTTCAGCCAAGACAGCCCCATTGGCGGCTGCAAGTGAGTATGGAGACGGGCAATGCTAGCGAGTGGTTATTGTGCGTGAGATCGCCTCTGCATATCAACTACCAGAACAATGTGTTCCATTGACCTCACTGTGGGCGTGTGGAACGAAAACACCCTCACGCAAGACAGCCCCATTGGCGGCTGCAAGTGAGTGCTTGCTGCTGCTGCCAGTGGGTACAATACAAAGAGGTGCAAGTCTATCGGTGCTTGTGCTTAAGTTCGCCTTGCGTGTCAGTCAGCCATCAGCCCACCAGACCAGAGTATGGTGTGTGGTTTAAGTTCGCCTTGCGTGTCAGTCAGCCGTCAGCCCACCAGACCAGAGTATGGTGTGTGGTTTAAGTTCGCCTTGCGTGTCAGTCAGCCGTCAGCCCACCAGACCAGAGTATGGTGTGTGGTTTAAGTTCGCCTTGCGTGTCAGTCAGCCGTCAGCCCACCAGACCAGAGTATGGTGTGTGGTTTGAGTTCGCCTTGGGCTGGGCGTGTGGAACGAGAGTACCCTCACTCAGGACCAGCCTTTTGGCAAGATGACAAATGTAGGTTAGTCTGTGTAGAGATGACAAATGAGTTTGCTGTTGCGTGTGGGTCTGTCCAGACTTGTCCTCCATCCCTCCTCTCCTCAACTCCTCCTTGCTCCTCCGTTTCTCCACTTGTCTCTGCAGGGTGAGTATCACCGCCGCGCTGGATGCAGGGGTGTTTGACACGTGGCATCCTCTTTACACATCAAAGCAAGTGTGAGTGATGTGATAGTGCTGTTTAGCTTCCTATAATGCACCCCCCATGACCGCAGTCCAGTTTTGAATCAAGTGCTAATGTCTCTCTGGTCTGGACCAACACCCTGTATGTTCATTTCTTCCAAGCATACCCTAAACTTGAGACCCTAAACCCTGCACCCTGAACCCTGCGTGCTGTGAGGGGGTGTCCAGCTAGTACGCGCACAGCTCTTTTGTTGTGGCTCGAAATGGTTCCACATGGTGGAAAGCGGTTTCTGAGCTTCACCGCTTTGCACCGCACCGCAATGAACTACACCACAAAGAACATCCAAGAGGCCTGCTGGGCACCCCCTAAGTGCATGTCTCATTCATGTGCTTTAAGTGCACGCCTTTTCCGTCAATCAATTCTCTACTGCTCCAACGAATCTCCATCTGTCTGTGCTCCGCCCTTCCTCACTCTTCTCTTGCAGGAAGAAGGGCAGCATTCGCCTGAGAATCAAATACCATCCAGTATGCACCCATTCATAGACAAATCGTGACTTACCCCCATCTCTTACCTCATGTCTTGCCATCATATCATGCCCTAAGGCTGGGTCCTGAGTCGGTCTCAAATTCATTTTTTGAGACGATTCAAACCATGCCTCATACCTGCAGTCGCCTCATTTCCCAATGCACACCTTTGAATTTTGTTGCACACTAATTCTTTATCTTTGCCACTCTGTTTCCCCCCCTCCAGAATCCCCAGTACAAGCAGCTGGGAGCCACTCCCTTGCCTGAACTAGTTGCTGCACCAGCAGCAGCAGCACCACCAGAAGCAGCAGCAGCAGCAGCAGCAGCAGAGTGTAACGCAGCTGTCACCAGTAGCAGCAACGCAGCTTCAGGGTCCCTCCCTCGCTCTGCTCTCTCCGTGGCCCTTCACAGCATCAATGCTGCACACGGCAACGCTGCAACAGATGCTTCTAGTAGTGACCAAGGCAGTGGTCGTAATACAGGCACCAGCAGCAGCAACGCAGCTTCAGAGTCTCTCCCCCGCTCTGCTCTCTCCATGGCCCTTCACAGTATCAACGCTGCACACGGCACCGCTGCAGCAGATGCTACTTGTAGTGACGACAAAGGCAGTGGTCGTGACAAAGGCACAGAGCAGAGCAACGAGCACGCGTCCTCTTCTTCCTCCTCCTCTGGCCGCCCCACCTCCCTCCCGCGCTCTAACCTCTCCATGCAGCTGGATGCGATTGAACGTATGCTGGCTGTAGCACAGATCGAACCAGACCCCGCTACAGATGAGTCTGCTGGTGCTGCTGCTGGCGTTGCTGCTGGTATTGCAGTGGTAGGAATGGGGATGGAGGGGGCAGGAGGAGGGAAGGCGAAGGACGAAGTGCCTGGGTGGCAGATCGGGCGGGCGACTTGGGAGCAAGAATCGGGAGAGGACGAGGGTGCGTTGCCTGTAGCTATTGGAGGTGCTGTGGGTGCCCCTCTTAACACCATGGATGAAGAGGCCTTAGCTGCTGCCAGGCTGTCTCAGCGCATTGACGCGATTTATCGCATGCTTGCTGAGAATTGTGAGGAGGGAGATTCGGGTGTGGTCAATTCAGGTGAATCTGAAAAAGCACCTGAAAACACCAGTGGAGCACCTGGTGGCAGTAGCAGAGAAACACCTGGTTCAGGTGAATTCGAGAAAGCAGCTGAGGGCCTCGGAATGACAACTGGTGATACTGGTAGTGCATCTGGTAAAACTCCTGGTGACAACAGAACAGCACCTGATGGCATCAGAGCCGAACCTGTGGGTGCTGGCCCAGGTGGTGCTGATTCTGCTGCTGCTGCTGCTGCTGCCACGGCTCTGAATTCTTCTCCCAAACCCATGACTCATAACACGATCAGCACCACTCCTCCTGCTGCCACCACCAGCATCACCAAGGCTACCACCAGCAGCAAAACGAGCACTACCAGCAGCGCCACCACCAGCGGCAGCAAGGCGATCGGACGGTCCAGATTGCGCACCACGGTCTCACAGAAGCAGCTGGTTACCATTCACCAGATCCTGGCAGAAGCAGGGAGATTGCCGCCCAGTCACAGCATTCACAGCCGGGCGGCAGAGGCAGCTAAAGGACAAAGCACCGGAGCGGCAGCTGTGTTTGATAAAAAGGGAGGGGTTGGTGGTGATGGTGGTGTGACCGGGCGGCAGGGGGGAGGGCAGCAGGTCTGGGCCGATGCGATTGCGGAAGGGGAGGAAGGGGAGGAGGAAGGGTTGTCGGGGAGGGCAGAAGGGAGTGGGAGTTCAGGAAGGGGATTGGGAGGATCGGGAGGAGGTACAGTCGGAGGTTTGGTCACAGGTTCGGTCGGAGGTTCGGGAGGAGCTTTGGTTAGCGCGCCCAGGGTGGCTTCGGGTGGGCATTCAGGGGGGTTGACAGGGGCTATGTCAAGCATGCAGGAGGCGGTAACAGGGGCAATGGCAGGTGTCTTGTCAGGTGATTTTTCAGGTGGTGGCTCTGTGCTGACTGGAATGATGGGCATGGTGACAGGCACTGTTTCCGGAGCTATGGACAAGGTTCGGTCAGGCGAGGCTGAAGACTTGGTTCGGAATGCGATAGAAGCAGCCAAGGCCCCCTTGGTGAAAGGAGGGGTGGGAATGATGGGGGCGCTGGGGGGTAATAACACTGCACAAGTAGCAACGCAACCCAATCCGCAACTACAGGCCGTGCCTATGTACGCTCATGCTCCATATCCTACTGCTCCTCCTGCTGCTGCTCTTCCGCCTCCTCCTCATCCTCTTCATACAGCAACCAGCCAATCCTGTTCCACGGGTCCTATCCGTTCGTCCCATTTTTCTTCCTACTCTTCCTCCTCCTCCTCCACCGTCTCCTCCTCGGTCTCATACCCTTCTCCCTCCTGGCCCTCCCACCATCACACCCCTTCCTACCCTCACCCCTCTGTCTCCTACCCTTCTCCCTCCTCCTCTTCCCTACCTTCCAAGAGCTCTTCCAACCCCCATCACCCCAGTGGTGGTTACTATCCCTCCATCTCCTCCTCCCCTTCTCCCTCCTCTGCCACCATCACCTCCTCTCTCACTAACGAATCTGCACACGCAGAAGTGGGGCATCGGTCTTTCGAATCCACACACTCAAATAAGGACGAACGAGGTTCTCACCGCTCGAATCACTCGTCTTTCTCCTCAAGCTATCCTCCCTCTGAATCATCCCAATCGGTCGATTCAGACATTTCAGACCACTCCGCCACCTACCCTTCTAACGCACACCCTCATAAACACTCCTACCCTCACGCCCCTCCACCCACCCACGCCGCCCCAAAAACGTCAACATCCCACCCATATCCTGCCAACCCTGCAGCAGCCAACCCTTATCCCAACCCTCCTGCCCCAAATCAGTATCCCTATCCGTACCCTCCCACTCGATATAATCCCTCTCAATACAACTACCCCCCCCCAAGCACCCCCTGGTGCATATCCAAACTATCCCCCTCCTCCTAACACTCCCTATTATCCCTATGCTGCACCACAAGGGCCTACACCCTATCCTCCTTATCAGCAGGGTGGGGCACAGTACCCCGCTCCCTGGGGTTATCCTGCCCCACCTGCCCCTGGTGGTTACTGTGATGCCAGCAGCGATCGCGCTCGTGGTGGTAACCGCTCCACGTCACCTGTTTCGTTTGAACGACATAAGAGCGGTAAGACCATGTTATTAAGTCGATCTGGTTTTCTTTCCCTATCAATGCCTCCTCAACCACATCAATTTCACTTGTGATTATCTCAGTTTCTTTTTTTTTCCTTTCTTGTTCTCCGCGCTCTCTTTCATTTATGGTGTTGCAGGTGGAAGCAGTGGCTCTCATGGTAAGGGAGAGCACAGATACAAGGACAGCCGGTCTCACTCGCATAAAGAAGATCGAAAAAAGAAGGATTTCTGCGACTGCAAACACTGCAAAAAGTGCTACCACAAAGAGCACAAAAAGAAAGGCAAAGATCACTATGATAATAAGTGGAAGTAGGCAAGGTTAATGCACAAGCTACAAATAAGACTGCATTGTTAGTGCTTGCTTGCTTTCCAGGAAACCATGTTTCTAAACCTATTAACTATGTTCACGTTGATAACGCGTACTGTATTTCTGTTCGACTTTCTGTATTTGTTCGTCAGGCAACCTGATTGGTTTGAATGTGCCAGCGGGAGCTCCCCATCAGAAGCTGATTGGTTTACGGCAAAACACTGTACACATGTTGCCTGTTTGAGCCACTCCCGGTTGCCTTGTGAAAGGGGCTTATAAGCTGTAATTATTATTTCGCAACAGTTTCGTCAATTCGCAGCTAGCTAAAAAGGATTCGCAGGTGCTCATATAAAGTATCTGTAACCTTATCCGTTGATATTTTGACTTCAGCCTCTTCATTATGACTTCGCTCTGCTCGTTACTTGTGGTTCATAACCACTGCAACTTGCGCGACGTGCTTGTAACGAGGGTGTAACTGGCTGGGGAAAAACCTCGGGTGCAGCGTTTCCATCCGCCGCAGAGCAAATTCGCGTGCATGGAGTGGGCATCATGTGTAGTTGGGGAAAGGGTGCCGATAATGGGGGCACATACATGGATTCTACGGAACTTGGTTTATCAAAATGAGCGTGATGTTTGTTGTCAGGTGTTGTCGGGGACCGATAATCCCGCGTGGGACCAGTTTTAAAGCGACGGGCAACTTTTGGCAGTGTTGGGTTCAGAAGTTTTTTTTTTTAACCAGGCTTGCCAGCGCGAAAGTGCTGGCTGGCGAAAACCAGGATTTCGTGCGGACACTTTCCATCCGCAGTAACAGTTCGCCAGGGTTCTGGGTTTTGGGTGGCAAATGTGCACCGTCGCTTTAAGAGAATGTAGCTGTAGTCGACGTGATGTGGTAATCTTATGATCGGCATTGTGCAGCTTTCTACGTACCTCTTCAGGACTTTAGCTACTCCTTGAAGCCCTTAAAGTTTCTTGTTCTCGTCTCACGGTCTCACTCGTGTCGCATTCGTTTGGCTTTAACCCCATTTAGGGTGGTCTGACTGGACGGCTTAAAGCGGTGGTCAGGTCATACCTTTTCAGTTCAGTCTCCGTGTATCAGAACGGTTCCACGCGGTGGAAAGTGGATTTCGACGTGTACCGTTTAGCACCCTGACGCAACGAACTAGACCGCAGAGAACGCACAGGAGACGTACGACCTGACCTCGCCCGTGGTTCCGCGGTAGTATCTATTGTGACGACGTTCTGTCGAAGAGGGTAGCTATCTGAAAGTGGTACTCGAGGTGCACCGCACAGGAAACGTTCGACTGACCTCGCCCGAAGGTCCGTGGTAGTAGCTATTCTAACGACCTTCTGTCGAAGACGGCAGCACCCTGAATCAAGCAACAAGGCAGGAGGAGCTGCGACGTTTGCCGCGGCGACGCTTCTGTCAGTCATGGCGTCTGGTTGGTTAGACGTGACGGGTAAGAAGCTAGAGGCAATGGAAATGCCATGGTTTTGAGACGTCTCAAAACATCTCTTTT